TACATTTTTGCTTGATACATTGTATTTTGATTAATAGCTACAGGTTCGCACGACATCTGGATAGACAAAGGTTCAGACAATCACATGTCTTGAAAGGAAAAGGTCATGGAAGGAAAACAATGCCGTGTCAATTTCTTCTGTATTCAAACTTTGCATGTGACTCATTGTGTGAAAGGTTGTATTGTCTTGTCATTGTGTGGTGTAAAATTGTAATTCCATCATGTAGTGCTTTAAACTTTTAGATGAATGTCAAGTTGTTGAAAAGGGGTCATTTATTTAATGCTTGCATACCTTCAATGCTGATACAACTGAATGTAAATGTATGTATTCTAATATTATTTAGATTTATTTTATTACTAAAAGCAAAAAAAGGACAGCAAATTTTATTTTTGGTACAATAACGATATCAATAACTTTCAGGAAATACAGACTTTTTATTGTATAGGTTGATTTTAGTTAGAGGTATGGCTACAATAGAAGGGTATGATCACCACCTATATGTAGCTGAACATTCTGAGAAGCACCAAAAAAAAAAAAATTGTTCTGAAGTTCATAATTATGATGACTGAAATGTCACCATTGAAATTACAGGTCGACTTTAAAAGAAATATGCAGTCAAATCATTGGGAAGTTTTGTTCAACAGTACACGTCTTTTGCAATGAATTCCCGGTCACAAGTTGTAAAGTTAACATGTCAGTTCACCCCTGAGCCTTTTGAAGGGCAGCTTCAGCAATGGACTTTTGAAGCAACTTGGCCACGTAGTCACCCTTCAACAGCATTCAATGGTTGTTTTGGAACCTTGTATCAATTGTCTGTCCCATGCATCTAGACAATGATAGGTCGTCTTTAGGTGTTCCGGGCTGCTTAGTGTGTATTCCCAGACGACGAAATCGGGGGTGGAGGATTTGCGTGGGTTACTGTGAAAAAGATAAGATTGACTTTCAACTAAAAAAAATCACTGCAGGAGGCTAAAACAGCCCCAGTACTGTACATGTAGGGGTCAGTTTACCTCAGCAATAAACAAATAGTTACAGTACGATGTGACAGTGCAGGGCTCAAAGTACCCACCTGTAATCATAAATTACTAAAAGTAAATGTAATGTGCAAAAAAAATGATGTTACAGAAAAAAAGGCAAGGTAAAAGTATGCATGCAGGGTGTTAGCTACACCTATGGTAGGAGATTTGAGCCCTACAGTGTCCAAATATATTATATCAGGTGATACCAGAGTCTGTTTTTCCATCACTTGAAATTTTGCTTCTCATTACAGACAAACATTTTGCCCAATCCGTCATCTTTGATGGATAGAAATTGGCTTGTAAAGATACGGTAAGAGATGTCATTAAACAAAACTTTCTCTACCCGTTTGCCTCAAAATGCGGGAAATAGCATTTCAGAGGATGAAGATTTCAAAATTTTCCTGGGCGAGCATGCCACCTGTCCCCCTAGGACCGTTGCGCCTTTGGCGCTCGACTTGGCGTTACGTCAAACAAAATTGAGATGACGTAAAATTTTCAGGCTGGCTAGAACACTGGGTGCTACAAATTAGTATTAGATCAGTTCCACATAAAAGTGTGCAGCAGAAAAGCAATATTTTGTTCCCGATCAATATACTGAGTACTGTACGTGTAAAATATGATTGAGATAAATGAAGAAATGAGGAAGGAAAAAGGTTTAACAACAGAAATTGTACAGTTCATTTACTGCACTCAGTTAGATCTGGGACAGGTGTGTACATTAGTATGAGGATGTGCCACGCCCACTTGCCCTGACTTGCACTAGCTCCTGTTGCTAGACTTGTAGTGCTTCACTGTGTAGTTGTTGGGACAACAGTAGGTTGTTTACGTATCACAGTTTGTTACTACATTTGCAAATACTTGTTTTTTCTATTAAAGAACAAGCCAAGTAGGACCTCCATTCTTGATGAAAGGAAGAAAAGATTTAAGCTTGTCCCAGGATTGCAATGTTTCATGTTTGTAAGGAAATTGATCAGTGAGCCAGTAGATGTATGTTTGTACTGTATATTTATTCCCTTTACAAATACTAGTAACTAGTAAGACTTTGGGCCCACCCTACAGTTACTGTGAATCCAGCCTGCCTGTTTTGATTTGATGTATAGAACTGGCCAAAAGGCGGCCGACTCCCTCTTGGAATAATCAATAGAAGGATAATTAGAGTGATAAGAGATTAAGGTATGGGATTTAGGCAAGGTTATTGCTTTGTGTTACAGTAGCCAATCTTCCAGGGTTCGATGTCCTGGTGTATAGGTGGTAGATTTCAACAAAACCATGATTGTATGTCAAAAAGATTCCATTAGATTTCAGACATATACTATAATAGTCAGTAAAATCTTTATTGTATTTAGTAAATAAGATTATACAGTTGTAATTAAAAGTAATGCCATGTAAATTGGATAACCCGATTGACATACATTATTCTGTAACACAATGACAAAAGCATGGTATAAAAGGAGTATCATCTACTAGTATCTCTTTTACCCTTCCTAACATACTGAGCAGGTTTACTAAGTCTTCATTGTGGGAATAACTTTAGCATATGTAACGAAGTTGCATTGTTGGCAAGGCATATGATCATGAATACATGAGAGACAATGTAAGTAAGTGATTGAAGTCCTTGTACTCGTGCTTCTTATTCTAGGTTAAGCCCCTTCTAGATCTTACCATGTACATTATAATATCAAAATGTACATCTCGTGAGTGATCACCAATGTTGTGCTAAGTACTAGTGTCACACAGGAGAAAAGTGCCGTCAGCTACAGAGTCTTGTAAGCTGTATCCATAGGTCTCTCAGACTTCCAAGACTCCCTAGACACTTCCCTTATCAGCCGGATGATTGATGACTACCCACACATATCCTGCATGTTCCAAATGTTATCCAAAGGGTAAGGATAAATCCAGTCGTCCTGTCTAATTGAAGTATTTGAAACAATGAATTTTGCATTTTTTTTTTGGGGGGGGGGGTAACATAAAGGGAGCTGAATTAGGTGGAAAAAATTATTTGTAAAATTAAAAATGTATATTCATATGGAAAATGTTTGGAAATACAGCTTACAATGTGCATTTATATTGATACTGACAATCCCACCATTTGTACAATTTGTAGATATTTACCATTATTGATTTATGCACAGAATGCAGCTCAGCTGATACCAGTTCATTCCCAACCTTTGCATACTCTGAGAACGGTCAACGGTCTTTAATTTGAAGACAAAAAAAAGTTGTGACTGAAAACTTTGATAAAAATTCCTTACTGTGAATAAGACTGTAATTTGTTTGACCTAAGCAACAGTAGTAATGGCAGCTTTCCAAGTAGAAGTTGAAAAAGGAGATCAATTTACGTATTGTCCTCTGACTGGCACCAGACTGTCAGAATCGGTGCCAATCAAAAGAAAGTAACATTCAAATACAATCTACAAACTCTAGTAGTTGCTACAAGTTCACAGCTTTGAAGTACTTGTACTTTGTGATATCACCCATGGCAATCATTTTCTACACAAAGTGGCCATGGGCCTTTATCATACAAGTGTCCTTTGAAGCCGTATCCCTACTTTTGCTGGTGCTAGTAATCATCTTGCTTTTTGGCGACGCCTCAGGGGCGGAGGCATTTGTGTAAGTACTGCGATCGCTTTGAAAGAATTTCAAAAATTGCACGAATGCATTCCCTAGGGAATTGGTTTTGAGGTAGCCTCCGGCCTTGTGGTCATCGGAAAAAGCAGGAAAGGCCTATGTTACCATGCATGGAAATGGCACCTTTTCAGGCATACTGTGGCTTTTTGCACACAGAATGTTAATGATTGTCTTTATTGATATTTCAAATATG